GGTGGCTGCGGGCTGGGACCTACCCCCCTCTGGGGGGGGTCCGCGGGGCCGGGTCGTGCTGAGCTCCCCCCCTCCTTCTCCCCAGGTCTACTTGGCTCTGCAGTGGATTCAGTTCACTATGGCCATGCTCAGGTACAAGGCGTTGCTGGGCTGGAATTACTATCACGACTTCGATTTTCTCCAGAAAAAGAAAAATTGCTTATCCCAGATGTGCTCCTATGCCAACGTCTGCTTTATTTTCTCAGCGTTATAGGTTCCAGCTCGATTATCGCCTATGCCATCTTTCAAAACGCAGTGCGGTCCCCCGAGGTAAGGGTCTGCGCCTCCTTTTCGCTCCCCTAATTGTGGTGTTGGTACCGTGCAGGTGGGTGGCAAAGAGTGGGGTGGGTCAAGGACTGCTAGGAGCAACCGCAGGTCTCAGGCTTGTGTGGTTAAACCTTGTTTAACACCTGGGCTTGCCAAGAGTTTTGGCCTTTTTTCCGTGATACGAGTCGAAGGGACTAACCTGGAACTGCAGCCACACAGGGAGAAGCAGGTTTCCCATGCTTTCTGCCACTCCAGGAAAGTCCTGGGAACAGGGATTTGTTTGTGTGTCTCCCTCTTTTGGAACAAAATGCCTGGAGGTTTGAAGAGCTGAGTACAAAAATGAAGTGCAAACTGGAGGTGTCCCTGTAGGAAGTGTATTTAGAGGTGTCTGTCTTTGAGTGTTTCTGAGTAGTTTTTTCAGGTAGGAGTGCTACTAAACCTGGTAAAACTCAGTGGTGCTGCAGTCTTCAGACAAAAAGAGGTCAGGCTGAGGAGCAGTTTGTTGTGTGAGCTCTGCAGTGGGGTTTTGGAAGGCTCACCCTGCCCATGCACGGGAACCACAGATGTTTCTAATGAAACAGCAGGACTCGGGTGCTGACTTCCCTCGGGGTGGGATTGTCCACACATGCACTGCAGATCTGACATGCACACGTGTCTTGAGTGCATCACATGTGGAAATCATGTGTGCAGGGAACCCCGCGTGTCTGGCCCGTGCGCAGTAACCATAGACCTCTATCCCAACTGTGGCAGGCTTCTTCTGTCCAGCACAGTCTGTCTGTCTGTCCAGGATTTACCAGCAGCAGTGCACAGAGCTGATCTGTGTGACGCTGGGGTTCGTTGTCCAGGATTTGCAGCTGTCTGGTCTGTGGACCATGCAGAAAACAGGTTACTGCTATGAGCAGTGGGACAGTAGAGCTGGGAGCTGTGTGGTAACAATGCTGTGCTCGTTCTTGCCTCATCTTCAATGTTCTCCTCACATCATGGGTTTGATCTGCAGCCTGGAGTCCCTGGATGGCTCCGGGCACGGTTCCCTCCTGGGGTCCTCTCCTCTGGTACGGTACGGAGCTGGGTTTGGCCCTGTGGCTTCCGTGGCTAGCAGCCTGTGTTCCTTAGGAGCCCTTGTGCTGTCAGTCCTATGATGTGGCTGTGTTTTGGAGCTGCTCAAGAGCCACGCGTGCCTCCAGGTCACAGATGGACCCTTCCTGCTTGAGGCAGCCCAGATGTTTCTGCTCAGATTATTGCTGCAAATCCGGATAGGAGGGATGGATAGCAGCTGGAGTGATTGGTCTGCATTGGGCTTCTGCTGCCAGGGGAGATCCGTTGCTGGGGTTTCAAAAGCAGCAAAATCCTCAGTAACTTCCCCATCGCCTTGTCCTCATGTTTCTGGTCTTCAGTGGAAATTTGTAAACAAAGGGGCTGGAAGAGATCCGTATCAAAGCTCGCCACAAACAGCTTCTTCCCTGAGTCATGAGGCTCCAGAGTACAATGTTTCAAAATAAACAGCTCTGGAGGCTGGAAGGAGAACGATGTTATAAAGACTTCCCCTCCTGCCCCCAGCATCGGAAATCAAATATTGCATTCTTGAAGCTTGTTTTCTGTCTCTACGGGGTCAATAAAACTCTTCTAAACTATTCGGAAGAGATGACGGCAAGCAATGAAGAAGGATTTTCCTCTGTCACATCAACACGTTGGGTGCAGGCAGATGTCCCTGGGCAATGGCCAGATCTAAGTCAATGTTAGTGCTCCAGCCTGACAGCTCATCCGAATCATTACGTCTTTATACTCCCTTCCTCTATTTTATAAATACCAGTTGGGTTTTTTTTTCTTTTCTCTTTTGCAAGTAAGAACCACGCTGCTTTTCACTTGCCACTGTGTCACCAACTACTTTATTTAGGTCTGTGCCAAAATAGCTCCTCAGCCAAACACTGGTGCCTTGCTCCAAGGACACTTCTTGCTGGAGAAAGGGCTCACCTGTTTGATTGCAAAAGCTGCTTTTTTGCTTATTTTGGAGCTGCTTGGTTTGAACCTGCTGTGCTTGCAAACTGGATGGTATCAGGGTGTCAATTCTGCACCAGCAAAGGAAAAGCCTGGTTAAAAAAGATGTTCATAAATGCAATGATGTACAAACTGGCTCCGGATACTTGGCTAGCAACAGTGGTTTGATTTACAGTGTTGCTGGGTTGGATGGCACAAATACGGAACTGGAGAGACGAAATATTTTGGAGAGAAATCCTGTAGAAGGCAAAGGATCTGCCACGTTCCTGCAAACCGTGCCGTGAGGACAGATCTGGTTCAATCAGATCCATCTTACCACTTATTGAACTTACTGAGCTCTGTCTCGTTGCAAAAGCTCAGTTCCATGAAGCAAATCTTAAAATCAGGACCTCCTGAAATGTTTCCATGCTGTGTTTAACATTATCATTTCCTATGGGAAAAAAAAAAGCCATCATTTTCTCTCCAGGATGCTGAAAATTAGGTACCAAAGACTGCAATTAAGAATCTAGATAATTAGGCTGCTTTTCCAGAGTGTCTGCTCTCCCACTAACAACGAAAACGTTGGCCAGAATTCTGCACAAATGTTTTCCTATGGTGTTTACAGACCTTTTGGCCACTGCATGCAAACTGGAAATGGGCTGGAAACTGCCATTAGAGGAGATGTGACTCTGTTCCAGGGAGATGCGGGGTGCAGCTGAGAGGCCGGGGGCTCCCACGGTGAAAATTAATCTGGCGTGTAAAATATGATTCAGCCTTAGTCACCAGCTGAAATGACATGAAACGCATAGGAAAAATGTCTGTTTCCAGTTATTGCAGAGCTGGAGGAGGGTTTGTGGGTTTTTTTGTTACCAATAATTTGATTTCTCTGTTGGCTGATTTAAAAAATAACTCCGCTTCTCCCTGCCAACCTGTCCCGATCTGTAAAATTGTAACATTCTGGACCTTTGAGGTATTTTCCATAAGAGTTGATGCTGAAGTTGCATCCTGGGGCAATGCTGGTGGCAGAACGGGTGGTTAGAGCTGGGTATCTGCATGGAGACAGCTCCTGAGAGCAAGAATCAGCACTGGTTTTTCTGTGCAAGGAGAACTGCCCTACAAGATTAGCTGGGGGACGAGAGTACGTCTCTGATTTCATGAATCATGACGGATTTTGCTTTTCCCAGGTTCGTCCGCTTTTCTACCTGAGCCTCTCTGACCTATTCCTGGGCATGTGCTGGCTCGCCGGGGCGCTCCTCTACAGCACACCCACCTCCAAGCAGGACCTCGTCTGCTACAACCTGCAAGCGATGGGACAAGTGAGTAGCCTTGGTGTCACCCTTTGTGCCGTTACCGTGCACCCTTTGCTGTAATTAACCTCGCTGGTGATTAAAGCGTGGCCGTGGGGAACTGTTTCTAGACTGGTTTTGGCAGAGGCTCCCCATGGGAGCTTGACTTAGCAGATCTCTTCGTGTAACGGAGATAACAATGCTTGGGTTTAGGTACCTCTGGTTTGTGAGAGGCGATGAGGAAGGGATTTTGTGCTTGCCACGTTTGGGTTGCTTGTGTAAAGCAAGTAGATGGGTCTTTATTTCCTGTTGGACCCGTGCCGATGATGATCTCTGTGCCTCTCACACGGCAGCTTTTCTATTCCTCTTCATGCTTCCTCCATCCTGGGCAGGAACAGACATATTCTGCGATTCGCTTGAGCTCAGCCTCACAGCATTACTCATATAAACAGCCCTGCTCCTGCTCACCTGGGCCTCTCCTTCCTCAAACAATCCCAAAGATGCTCAGGAGCTGCTCTGTCAGCACGAGCTCAGCGATTCAGCCGCTTTCCAGCTGGTTTTGAGTGCTGGAGCCTAATTGGAGTGGAGTGAGCGAAACACCATTTTCCTGACAGTTTGCTTTTGTCTCCCTGAGTTCCCATTTCAGCATGAGAGAAATCACTGCAAATCACTGCTCTCAAAAAGCTCTGCAGGGTACGGCCAAGCTTGGGCCAGAGCGGTGGTTTACGAGCGGTGACCAGGGCTCACTGGTTTCCTTTTATAGGAAAACCAAAGCCACAAAAACGTGGCTGGGAAGCACAAGCAGCTGTGGGGAGCCTTGGTGTGCATTGTGTGGGCTCGGGCGCTGTGACGGGACCCACAGATGGGAACTGAAACGTCTGAAGCTGGCAATGCTCTCCATGGACCTCAGAGAGGGCAGGGATGTAGCTGCATGTGCGATATGGAGGTGTTCACGCCATTGGGTGCCTGGGGAGTGGGTGTTTGCAGCCCAGGGTTGTTTCAGCTGCTGTTTTTGTGGGTAAAACCATAACACTGATGGTGGCAGGAGCAGCTCTTCCCCTCCTGGCTTGTCTCTGGTTTCTCCAGCTCTTCTGTGCTGCTGTGGAAGCACCGCAATGTGTTCACATCGAGAGAGGAAGCAGTGGGGCGTAGGTAACTTGGCCACTTGGGAATGATGCAGAAAAATATCAAAGATGGTTTTTGTAGATGATGGTACAGGGGAAAGTGAAAAGAGCTTGGGAGAAGCTTTTTAGAGCTGGAAAGCAGAAGGAGCACACAGGGCTGAGGGTGTTTCTGAGCTGTTTCCCTTGCAGCTGTGCCTGAGGGACAGTTCTTAATGCTGCTGTGATCTGGAGAAGACAGGCTACACTGCTGGAGGAGAAGTAGGTAGGGTGTAGACAACACACCATCATTTTTCAGCAGAAACACCAAGAGCGTGCTGTGTTCCCATGCATTTCTGGTGCTTCTCCGCCCTTGTTTTTCCAGCCTGTGGCCATGCTTCTCAGGGACACCAGAAGGGGACGGGGACAATGCAGGAGATTTGTTTCCAGAGAGAAAGGCAGAGCCACCCTGCAAGGACCTGCCTTTGGGGACAGTCAGGGTGCTCTGCTGTGGTGTGCAGGGTCCAAACCTCATCCACGGGGTCCTGGGGCATCTCTGCTGTGTGCCACCAGCAGACCACCCGCGGCCGGAGGACAGCCAGGGCGGCAGAGCCAGCTCATGTCTGGCAAGGGCTGTCGCTGTTGTTTGCTCTGGGAGAAATTAAAACAAACGCAGGACTTGCCATAGCAACTGTGCCCTGCGTGTGACACGGCGCAGGACACCTGCTTCCTAAACACCCCAGCAGTGCCCTTACCTTGTGCGTAAGCAGGGGCCAGTAACAGGTTTAACCAGTGGCTTCTGCAGAGCATAAGTGATCTGTAACCGCGTGAAATCAGGACACTTCTCCCGGCCCCTTTTTGCCTGTGCTGAGCAGGGAATCCTCACAGAGGTGGCTTCTTGGGTGTCTTCTAAACCCCCACAGCTTCTTTGCATGTGAACACCCATAAGATGTGAAACGCACTGAGGGACAAGGGCGGCGACGGGCTCAGGACCGCTCAGCACTGGTGGTTGCAGATGGCAGCTCTTGGAGAGACTCACGCCATGATCCATGTGATGTGGTTGTCTCAGGAGATTGCCTTAGAAACAGGACAATATTTTGGCTTATTCAGCCGGTTTGCCATCACTTTCTCTCCAAGGGTTGACGTTGCAGCAGGTGGAGCTCCCTAACATCCATACTGTGCTATAAAGGACAAGATCGCTTTGTTTCTTGGATGTTGTTTCAGCCCCAAGTTGTTGGTTAATATTAAATGTAAATACTGCTCCCCTCTGCTGTCCCTTGACTTTGTTCTCTCCTCCTCCTTGCCTTGCCTTTGCGTTTCAATAGTAAAGTCCTGAATAGAGGTTGTGGTTATAATTGCACAACTCCCCCACATTCTTCCAGTTCAGTTCCAGTGGCCTAATAATGTCCTGGCAGGCTCTGCTCACGCTGGTGAGCACAAAGGGAGCCCCAGCAGTGTTATAATGAGGTTCTCTCGCGTCTCCCCGTGTTATCTCCTCATGATACGCGCTGCAGGGCTGGCCACAGCTTTTTTGGTTCCCTCTTCCGAAAAAGAAGGCGGTGCTGACATTTTGTGAGCCTCTCTAAGGCATTTTGGAGTGCAAGAGCATGATCTCTGTGGGCTGTTTTGATGACCTCCCCTGGCAGTAATGGAGGAAGGGCAACAAGCCCTCATTAAACCTTGTCTAATGAGCTGGAAAGTCACTGCAAAGCGGTGGCAAAGTTCCTGCTGCGATGTAGCAGCCCCTTGGACTCAGCCTCTTCAGCATCAGCCAAGAGCGTTTATGACCTCCATGGAGGATACCAAGCTTATTTAGTAGCTACTTTCCCAGACTTAGCTGATATTAGGGTGGCAAACCTGTGCTCCTTGCCTTTTTGGCCAAATCCACAGAAAAATTCACTTGTCCAGCCCTTCCTCTTTGCTTTTGCCACTGAAGCATGTGTTTCCTGTAACAGACCCAGCACACGCATACGTATCGTGTGATTAGGCAGCGCTGTTTATACTTGACTGCCTGGAGCAACCGTGGATTCAAAAATAAATGCAAGAAAGATTTGGAAGGGGGGTTATGGGAGATTTTAGACATGTGGTCTCGGCTCAAGCTGGAATCCAGGGCTGGGAAATTCAGTGGGAAACGATGTTTTGTATCTTTTCTTTCCTCCTTTTTCCCATGGAGAGGAAAAGGCTCTTGGGATGTGAATTCAGGCTTAGTGCAGATATTCTCTGTCCCTGTTTTCCTCTTTCAGTATACTATTGTTTTCTGTTTCCGTTAATTCACTGTGTAGTGAGCTCGTTATGCGAGAAGCAAATCCAAAAGTGCTGCATCTGTGTTGTGTTTCCTGATGGATGTAGCATAGACAGGCTCCAAGTGCTGTTGAACCCTTTGTGGTCAGGATTTGGGCCAAAAAAAATGAGCCAAGTCACAAAGATTTGTACTTTTAAGGCAATCCTGCTGTTGTTAGTGCTTCTGTCCTCTGTTTGAGGCCAAAGTGAAGCTGCCTTTGTGCCATGTGAGGTGGAAACACCTCCTCTACCTGGTTCTTCCCAGTTGTGTCCCATTACAACCCAGCAGATGTGAGCACACCCTCACATTTGGCAGTCCACGACGCTGTTCAGCATCCTGCCTCTGGCCCACGGGCTTTGGGTTCATCAGCAATGGACTAAAAGTGCTACAAAAATGACTATTACAGGGCTGAAATACTGTCTGTATTTCTCAGATATTCTACGTGGCATCGTTTCTATACACCGTCAACTACACCTGGCATCTGTACATGGACCTAAAGATGAAATACAACCAGAACCTCTTCAGGATGCCCCCGCAGGTGAGTAGGACTGATGTGCAGCGACTGTTGGGTACCAATGTCCATCTGTGGGGTTGTAGGGGGGGTGTAGGAGGTGTGTGGATAACAGTGACCTCGCCACAAGGACTTTGAGGGCCCCTCTGCCCCATGGCTGTGTGAACTGCCATCTCCTGCCCACTGAGGTCAGTCAGTAAGTGTTGTAAGAGCTTGAGGTGGGAGGTGTGATGGAAGTGATAAAAGGACCAGTTGGCTCTGGGAACAGTGGCCAGTCCTCACTTCATCACTGCTGACCTTTACAAAAGCCCTTTGGGGAGCCAGTGTAATCGCTGGGAACCGAGGGACAAGGACATAGCGCTCAGAAACGTGCTCTCTGCGTTGCAAGCTAAGCAAACACTTCACATTCCGCGTGACCCAAAACTCTCCTTGCAGCTGATTCACTCCTCACAGCTGGCTAAACAGTGGGCACCACCACGGCTGTGACTGTGTGTGGCTCCTGATGGATTGCTGCAAGACGGCAAATTCCTCATGCAGCTCTTCCCGTTGAATCCATCAGCTCCGTTTCCTTATGTAGCCTTTCTCTTCCTCAGAGATTTGCTGTGCACGGCAAACTTTGCATCCCAGATATGCCATGCACTGGATCAGGAGCAGCAGGCTGGGCAAATCAGTCTGTATCTCAAGGGCTCTTGTCTGTAGGGATTGGATCCACTTGTAGGACGGGTTTCTTTCTTGTTGGACCCCCATTCAAAACAGCACTACCAGAATTCCCACCACTACGGCTGTGCCCACCTTGTACGGTCGTAGTGGGTGTGTGGATGCCAGCTGCCAAAGCACATTTCGTGGTGGGCAGAGACCAGGACACTCCAAATTGCCGGCATTTCTCCACCAGAACATGAAGTCTCTGAGGAACTCCAGGTTCAGTGAATAAGTGGTACAAATCAAATAAATCACACCAGAGAGCTCATCAAGTGTCTGCTCCTTGTCCAGATCCAAGTCCTTTCTCAGATCCTCTGGTCGTGAAGGAGAACAGGGCAGTAGGAAGGTGAAAGCACCGGTTGTTTCTGTGGCAAATCGGCACAGACTGAACGGGGCGGTGTTGATTCAGTGCAAAGTGGAAACATTTGTGTGTGGTCTGGGGCTTAATCAGCATCTGGAGAGCCCTCAGCTGCTGAAGTGCTCCCTGGGAGCTGGTTTCTGCGAACCAGTGGCTGCGTGGAAACCATCATTTAATGGAGCTCTTTGGATTTTGCAGGTTGTAGATTATGCGAGTTGCATTGGCCGAATAGCAACGATCTCATCCAGGTAAGATTTCATTCCGGCTGCCAGGACGATGTGGTTTTGGTAAACTGCAATGTGCCAATCTCTGCTTCCTACCTATTTTGACACAAGTTCTACTGAACTTGTCAAGCTCATCAGTAACGGCAGAGCGACCTAACAAACTCAGAGCCAGAGGTTTTGGATGTAAGGGCCTTCCTCCAACCGAGTTAAACTATATTAACCAGGTTTTTCAGAAAGTGCTCCCTTTACCAATGTACCGTCTGCATGAATGAAAGCACAGAAGTTAGGAAAGCTGATAAAATACTCTTCCAGAGCAGTGTCAGTAAAGACAATTTTTAAGTCCTCTATAGTAACAGGAGAAAAACCAAGCAGCGTTTGGTTGGTGGCTGTAGCAGCACCATGCGGTAACTAACAACTGTGCCATTGTCCTTCCTCCTCTTAGCCTCATCCCTTTCCTTCTCATGGTGCCCGTGTTTTGCCTGGGAAACAGCAGTAATTGCTACCAGAACTTCAGCCAGAAGCACGGGTAAGCTTCACGCATCTCTCTGCAGCAGCCCCACTGCTGGAGGGTCACAGAGGAGCTCAGGCTGTCCCTTTCTCCTCACAGATGTCTCCTGATGCACACAGAAATAGCCGTGCCCACCAACGAGCCCCAAACCCTCAGTGGCTCAGTTTGCCGTGCGATGCATTTCTATGGCATCGGGGTCTTCCTCATTTCCTTTCTGATCAGCTTCATAGCCATTCTGGTAAGAAACATAGTCCCACGCTAGCTGTTGCTCCCAGATGATCAATGTGAGAAGGTTTTCTCCTTTTCATCTTTACATCTTTGCTTGGGTGGTACCAAGGGGCAGGCAATGACAGGGGAAGAACGGTGTGGTGCTGCTTCCCTTTTGGAAGGGCTGGTGAGGGAGAGAAAATGTCAGTGTGCCACCATATACATCCATCTGGAGTCCTGTCCTGTGTTCTGTCAACCCATCCCAAAAAGGATTTGGCAGATAGAGCATGGCAGCAGAGATCGCCTCCTGGATGGGTCAACAAGTGCCCACATCAAGTCAGAGTCTTCAGAAAACTTCACATACAGCACAACTGCCCTCACCGCTTTTCACTGTTGGGTGAAAAGGTTTGATAGGTTGAAATGAGGTTTTGGCTAAAAAAAACCCCAAACCATAGGATACTCTGTCTTAGATGAACCCAGATCAGAGCATGTGCACAAACAACGATGTATGCTGCTGCTTTTTTAGGTTATACTCGGTCAAGCCCGAGGTTTGTACAAAAGGTTCGTAAACTCCACGGGATTCCTGGGGGACCAGCAGTGGGCCATGATCAAGATGGTAGAACAACGAGTGGTTTTTTACCCCGTCGCATTCTTCTGCTGCTGGGCCCCAGGTTAGCAGAGAACTGGCTTCCCAATATTCCCCTAGGATGTAGTGCCTGGCAGTGAAACTCGGAAGAGTGGGGTTAAAGCAATGCCTTCTTGTCCATGCCTTTTCACAGCTGTCCTCCTTGGGATACTGAAGCTGACTGTGTCAACAAACAGCAAAATCTACATGGCTCTTCTGATTCTGCAGGTAAATGTCGTCTTCTGTGAGAAACCTGCTTGAGCAGGCGTGCTGGTGTTTGTCTGCTTCCAGTCTCTGCTGGACAAAATGTGCTTCTGGCCACAAAGATCATGGTTTATGCTTTTGGTCAGCAAAAGTCTTAGTTAGTTGTTACTTGTTAGCTATTTTATGTGTTTCACAGGCTTGAAAATGTCTCAGTAACCAAAATCACAGCACCATGGAAATGGTAGAAAATAGGACTAGAAGGGATCCCCAGTAATCAGCTTCTTTCCCTTTCTGTGAAAGTCTCCAGATGCAATTGCTCCATGACACTTGTCCAGCTCCTTGCTGTGCCTGAGACAGCGTTTAGCAAAGATTATTCAAATAACCATGAGATTCCTGTATCACATGGGGATGCAGATAGAGAAAAAGCTGGAAGAGGGAGGCTTGGCATAACGTGCTGGGTCTGACAGCCTGGTGGAGAGTCGTGGTGTGCTGTGCTGTGCTGTGCAGCGCTGGCTGACAGGACAGCCCTGATCCCCGCTGTGGTCTCTCCCAGGCTCTGACAGCGGCTTCCCAGGGGCTCCTGAACTGCGTGGTGTACGGCTGGACGCAGCACGTCTTCCTCTCCCTCAAACGCAACGCCTGCCGGGACGTCGACACTCAGACCCCTCTCTTGCGCTCCCAGAAGAAGTTCTATGCCAGCACGCTCCCCACCAGCCCGCCGGACGCCGAGGGGTCCACATCCACCCTGCTCTGATGAATCCCCACGTCGGAGGAGGACAGGCAGCATCCTAACGAGACCTCGTTGGGTTTTAGCACTGGCAGCCAGCCCCGGTATGGGGCTCTCTGGTGTGGACTGTCTTGCCAGCAGCAATATTAGCTGTAGTGCTGGAGGAGCCTGAGCAGAGCCACTGGGGACAGACGCCTTCAGTGACGTTAGTTATTTATTGTGCAGGTTTGTATGGACTGTAAGTGGATTTTTTAAACGTGGTAAATCTTCAGTGTGGACTTTCTCCTTATGGAAATGTCTCTAGAAATGCAGCAAATGTTATGTAACAGCTCAGAGATGTGGTACAGCTCCTTTGAGGGTCAATGGTCAAAGGATGTTTTACTTCTCTATTTGCCGTTACAAATTAACAGTAAAGCAAAGGTGACTATTTTTCAATCTCTGACTTTTCATTCACTGTAAAAAGAACATGTACCATACTGACAGCCAACCACAGGGAATGAAAAATCACAAAGTAGCATAAAAATCAGCCCTCGCTTCTGTGCCTCAACTTTTTGTACCTTTCCTTTCTGTTCTTCATGCCAACTCCTACTCAGCTACAGTACTCAGAAAAATCAGCTTCTTCGACCCAGTGGATCATCTCTCCCGAACCAGGTGAGCAGGACTTTGCATGAACCTGCCTACACTCTTCTAGACGCTCAAGTGAATTATTTACTAAGGTGCCAGCCTTCTATAGAAAACAAAACAGATTTTTAGCTGCATTGAAAACAATTCTCTAACATTTACACTCTGTTTTCTAACAGCTTCACTTTTGGGGTCCAACCAAAACTTATTTACGTAGCAGGTAATACAAGAAGAGGAAATACTCAGGTTTTGTGTAGTTAACTTTCATACAGTTTACACAGTTCTGCTGTGGAAATCACTTTGTGCAATATCTCCTGGGACTAGCAGTCCATCTTCAGGGGCATGCCCACAGGGCCCGCAGCCCTTTCCAAACCTCACCTGGTGGGTTTCCCATTGCTTTCATGGGTTTTTTTTTAAACATATTTTTCTTTGTCTATACTCTGCTTCTCATCTGCAAGAGTCTCCCTTCTCCCTGTGCTTTCCTAAGAGTGTTTTAGCTCCCATCCCTGGTTTTGGATCAGTTCATCTGTCAATCTAGGAATCGAGGGCTTGTTCTGGGTCTTCTCTCGCTGATAGAGAAGGTGCTGGAAGCTGAGAGACCCTGGCACAGGTTTGATGCTGTAGCTCAGGTTCCCAATTTCCAGCTGCCCCCTCAGACCCAAGCAGTGGAGTGAGGGAGCTGGGGCTGCCCTCTGCTTAGCCCTGGTAGAAGCATGGGGACATAGGGCCGCTCCCCGACCCTTGTCCCGCTGGGGCTGTACGTGACAACTGGTAGGCTTTTCACCAGAAGAAATTCACCACCTCTTCTGTGTGAGGTGGACAACACTGTTCTCCTCCTCCACCCTGAGGATGTAGGACACTTCTCCCCCCATACCTTTTCCCACCCCCTGGGCTAGTATCTTGGCCAGATTATCTCATGGACAGCATAGCCCAGTGGTAGATGATGGCTGCCTGCCTCAGAGAGGAGAGATGCCACCAACACTGCTCAGACCCCCAGCCTGAGCAGCAGGGCTTTCCCCTGGCCACCATGATGTGCCTGGAGCCATCATCACCTCCAAAATGGTGGTAAAACACCTCAGGGAAGGTCCTGCCAACCCTCACACAGACATCTTGACCCTCTGTCCCTTGAGGTGCTGAGGGGGTGGCCTGGAACTGTCCACTAAGGGCTGGCGTGGAGCCTGACAAAGGTGTGTGGCACCCTGCTGTCCTGAGGGGCGGCCATTCCCCTCAGTGCCCCTTGAGAAGGTTCTGGAGGTGCTGCCGCCTCTCCCAGCCGCCATGCTGACAGCTGGCTGCGACACAAGGCCAGAGTGGAACAAGGCCATGGCACCAGGCCCATGGGTGTTCCTGTGAGGTGATGGGGATGAAGAGCACCCATCCCCACTGCAGTTCCCTCCCCATTATGGGCATGGAGCTGCAGTTGATCTTCAGAGCCGCTCCCCTGCCACTCAGTGAGATTTGGGGAGCCATGCGACCTCACCACCCCCTCCTCCTCTTCCTCCCCAATGGGGAGAATCCAGGCCAAAGATTGCCTGTGGAGCATGAATTCAAGAATTAACCACCGTAACACTTCTCCCAGCAAATTAACTTCACAAATGTTGAGGCCCCTTGGCCACCACCTCGCCTCCTTTGCCAGTCTGTAAGCCCATGGGCTCCAGCTGTTTTTTCTTAATCACAACCCCCCATCAGTAAAAATATTCTGAGTGTGCACCCAAATATACGCATACTTAGTTATTTATAAATCCTCTGCCTGTGCTACTGATGTTCTAGTATTTCATTTAGAGACCCCTGCTGTAAACCTCAATCCGGAACAAATTTCTTTACCTTCTCAAAACCTCCCCGCAAGCTCCCGTCCAAATGATCCTGCCAGGTTTGTACTTTTCACAGAGGCCACTGACATGAGCAGTAATTAATTTTTATTCCCCTTTTCTTTCCTTATTTCCTTTCAGATGTATATCTTTTTCTCCTGTAATCAAGGTAATCAAGCCTTAGAGCTCAAGCTTTGCTTCAGCCACCCTGGGTCCCTCCCTGCTCAGCCTGCGGCTGGTGGTGTAAACCAGCATACAAATTTTATATTAACCTGAGCCTCCCCAATCCGCCCCGTCATTTTCATCAATGACTTTTTTCTCTTACTGAGTGAGGTCAAGCAAAACAATTCCATTTTGCTGCTCTACAGAATAGAAACTAAGTCCCTGAATGCTACACTTGCATCTAGATTAATTTTAAGTGAGTCCACCACAGCTGCAGTGTGGTTCTAGTGACTGAGCCCAGCTTTCCGCTGCTGGCACATGAAGTCCTACACAGGGGAGGTTTGGTTCTCAGCTGTTTTTGAGTCGTCTTCCTCCTCCTGATCCTTCTCATCCTTTTCTGGAGCCCGTTTCCTAGCCCAAAAGCATCCAATGAGTCTGTTGCATATTCGGGTGACTCCGAGCTTTCTCACATACACAAAGTGCTGTGAGCACCACAAGAGCAAAAGATAGTACGGTGAACCTGATGATGAAGCTAATAAGCTTCTTTTTAGTGGCTGGCGGAGGGCTGCTGTCAATGCTTCCTCCAAAGCCCATGTCCTGGCAGTAGGGAGGTGCCCAGCCACTGTCGCAGTGGCAGTTTCCTCTGGTGTTGCAGACGCCTCTTCCGCTGCAGGTCCCCTTGGCAGAACAGTGGGACCTCAGGTACTTTTTCTCGGGGACACACATCTGATTAATGCAGATCTTCTTCTGACCGCACTGCGTGCCATCCATAATGACTCCAGGGTCCAGAACGTCAGTGCCCAAGTGATAGTCTGTGCCCCAGCACCAGGTATTGTCCGCCAGGGTTTGGATGATGCTTGTGTTATCTTCCAGCTGAGGCAGACGTTTAACGTTTGTGCACTGCACCCTCCCACACAGGATATTTTCTAGCTTACATTTCTGAAAGCCGCTATCTGCCCCATCTCCCCAGCAATTGCCAAAGGGATGCCCTTTCTTGTTTCTCCAGGAAACACGGTAGCGGAGCAGGCTTTGCTTCCTTGCCAAAGATCCTCACGCACTGTAAGGTGCGAGACTGGCATTTGCCCGAATAACAGTACCCATCCTCAGCGCATGTGGTCCCATCTTGCTTGGCCACATCTGCTGGGCAATCCTCAGATGTCCCGCTGCAATATTCGGGCAGGTCACACAGATCGGCGCTTTTCCTGCACACTTCTCCTTTGGGAAGGAGTTTGCAATTCTCACAGCAGCCTCCAGAAGTGCAAACAGCTCCTGGCCTTTTATGACAAGTATTGTCACAACAGAGGTCCAACTTACACCGTTCTTCTAAGCCACAGTCGCACTCCTCCCCAGCCTCCACAATGCCATTCCTGCAGCGCTGCGTTGCAGACATCATTAGCAGCGTTGGGGTGTTTTTAAGGCAAAATCCTCGCCCCGAATCTAGAAATTCAGAATAATCCTTTTTGCTGCAGTTGCTGAAATGATAGCTCACCGGGTTGTATTTGCTCATGATGCATTTAGAGTTATTGCCACACTTACAGTGTTCCTCATCGTGCTGCATGCCAAGGATGTGCCCTAACGCACGAGCGGCATGGACAGCAGTGTCCACGTAAGGCCATTTTGCAAACGATGCCACAGAAGAGACGTGGTTTTTATCACACGTGCTGGCAAAGCTGGATCTGCTGCCGACGTGCAATCCTCTCACACCGAAATCAAAGTCACTCAAGGTAAATAGATGCCCCACGTCGTACGTGTTAAACGCGATGCTTTCATCCACCAGCCATTGGTTAAAATTCTCAAGGGCTGCAGTGATGGTTTTGGTAACACTGATAGGGTTCCTCTCCACCCAAATCTCTAGTGTGCTTAAGAAAACACAAAGTTGGAGAGGATTCAACAGCCCGTCCACCAGATGGATTATTTCAACCACTTCCAGTACCACATCAGTTATATTTTCGCCAAAGGCATCAAAACCTGCCTTGTCCACCACGACAAGGAGCTCCAAATATGCCGTAGGCTTCTGGGGCTGGAAACCCCCTGTTGCCACACCAGGAATTGGCAACTGTCCACTTTTGTCGGGGATTTTGTTCATCACCACTCCAGGATGCTCTGTCTCCTGCTTCTGCAACAGAAGATGCTCACCCTTGGAGGAATCTACCAGGGGCTCGATGCTGTAGCTCGAGTTTCCGATGTGCAGCAGGCCTCTGAGCCCAGAGCAGGTAGTCAGAGTGACTCAGGAGGCCGGGATGTTCTCCACATAGCCATGGTAATAGCAATCTTCTGGCAAGTGAGGCTGTTTGAACAAGACTTTCCCCTGCCCATCATGAATGAGTATGGGGAGTTTTTGATACAAAGTCCGTCTGCCTGAGGTGGATCGTGTAATTTACCTCCTGAATGGCCACAGCATAGGACACTTCACCCTTGACGGCTTTCCCTGCCTCGGGGGGAATTTTTCTTGGCATGATGAGCACAGAATCACAGAATCGCTCGGTTGGAAAAGCCCTCTGAGGTCATCACGTCCAACCGCTCCTGTCTACCCCCTAAACCATATCCTTAAGTACCTCGTCTACCCGCTCTTTAAACACATCCAGGGATGGTGACTCCACCACCTCCCTGGGCAGCCTGTTCCAGCTTCTGATGACCCTCTCAGTAAAGAACTTCCTCCTTCTCTCTGACCTGAACCTCCCTTGGCACAGCTTGGTGCCGTTTCCCCTTGTTCTATCCCCCATCACCTGGGAGAAGAGACCAGCACCCACCTCTCCACAAGCTCCCTTGAGGCAGTTGTAGGTGGTGATGAGGTCTCCCCTCAGCCTTCTCTTCTCCAGGCTAAACAAGCCCAGTTCCCTCAGCCGCTCCTCATCAGGCTTGTTCTCCAGAGCCCTCACCATCCTTGTGGCTCTTCTCTGAACACGCTCCAGAATCTCAACATCCTTCTTATAGTGAGGGGCCCAGAACTGAACACAGCACTCGAGGTGCGGCCTCACCAGTGCCGAGTACAGGGGGATGATCACCTCCCTGGCCCTGCTGGTCACACTGTTTTTAGTACAGGCCAAGATGCCGTTGGCTTTTCTGGCCACGTGGTCTCGTAGGCATAGCCCAGATAGGGCTGGGGGGTGCAGTCTGTGCATGGAGTCTGGAGCAGGGAGAAGAGGCCCAGTGTGAGGACGAGAACCCCCCTGCCCGCTGGGGCACACCTTGGCTGTGTCTGGCTTGGAGCCATGGCCACTGCCTGCCAGGCTGGAGGACAGAGAGGAAAACATGGATGATGTTTTCCAGGGACAACGGCTTCTTCAGCTCCAAACACAAACATTCCACAGGAACAATGGCACCGGGCACCCACACGGCAACCCAACAGCGGCACAGGCAGGAGCATTAAACCCACTCATCTCATCGCTAAGAGCCTGCTGCACCTTCCTTGGGCTGACCCCGTTTGCTGAGAGCGTGAGGAGCCAGTGCTGCCACAGCAATTTGTTTAAAAGGGGATTAAGTTGATAAGTGGAAAGCAGTAGATTACCAGGGAAACAATGGTTTGGTTGCTAATGGGACCTTCAGCTGGCAGTGAGAGCCTCCAGGGCCTGCTGACAGATGATAACCTTGCAGGGCTCATCACTCGCTGTTTTAACTATTTGAGGGCAGTTTTCCCGCTGCAAAGGGAGAGGCATTCTGCTACTCCTAAGAGTAGGGCAGGGTCTTTTCCTGTCCCACTTCCACAGAGCACTTGCAGCTGTTTTGGCTGCCTTAAATATTCCCAGGACACTTGGAAATTGTTCTCTCACTCCCCTTCCCGGTGCTATGGATGCTCTGACAGTCACTCACTACCTAACACACTCTGAACTCCTAAGCAGAGGGATGTCAGCTCTCACAAAGAAGGCGGCCTGGTGCACACAGGCATTCACAGCTGCCCCACTGCCTCTTTTGTTCTGAAATGCTCACACAACAAGGGTCTCGCTGGCTGCTCTCAACATTCAGTCAAACCATGCTTGAGGATAATAAAAATACCTCTATAGCCAGAAGCACACAAGTGCCAGACGTGGCACTAATAACGTTCAGAAGGGTGGCCAAGAGGTGAGGAGAAGCACTTTGGAGTGCACCACCAGCCTGAACAGAGGCTGAGCCATTTCCCATCTTAGCAACGTCCCTCAAGTCACCGGTCCAGCCACAGCTCCCTGCAGGGCTCCCGCTTCAGCTGCCTTCACCAAATCACCACCATCCTAAAGAAGCTGGTTCCTCATCGCTGCCCCAAAGAAAACACCCAGCAAAATGGAGGAGCTGTAATACCTGATGGGGGAAACATCGCTGAGCACAAACAACTCATCCCACCCTTCCCTGCTCCCAGTTGTAGCCACAAGAAAAAATTCTCCAGACCAGCAGCACTGGGCATGCACTGCTGCCATCTAATGGAAAGCAGTGTTGGAAAGGAATCATTTCGGGTTACACTGCCAGGCAGAGCACAGGATTTTCTAGGTCTTTATCCAGCCTATCCTGGCAGCCAGGCTTTCATCTCAAAGCCTCACATCACTCCCATAAAATAACAAGCAAAGTGCTTATTTATTGGCATTTGTACAGCAGGAGACACAGAGGACAGGGCAGGGCCTGGGGCTGGCACCAGAAGCACTGGAGGTCATTGCTGTGCCCTCCAGGACGCAGTTGTCCCCCTTCCCTTCTGTCCTACAGGCACTTGGGACCCAAAAAAGAAAAGCAGCCAGTAACTTTTAAGTTTAGTAAAATCATTTATATACACCGATGCGTAATATTTACAATATAATACTGATCCAAAAGGAACTAACATATTACAGGTAACACTGAAAAGGAGAAATGGAAACATCTGAGTACACAGAAGTTAAACATGGTGTGAGGACAGACTTGGATTTCCAGAAAGAAAAACCTGAAGTAATGACAGCAAAACTTTGACGTGTTCCTATTTCCAATCAAAAACTCTTTCACCTAGTCAAGTCCTTCTAACCTTTTAATACATATACAGCTTAAAATAATCAAGTCACAGGAGAACTCAGATATACATAACATTTTGAAAAGGTCAAATGATTGCAGAAGATTTTCTCTTAAATAAAAGTCTAAAAACCCAAAACAACCTACAGAGCCTTCTCATGTCCTTTCAGTGCTCGCACAAAGAGTATCTTTGATCCCACACAACCCTTCCGTCTCAAGGTATTTACAATATTCACAGTCTGCTATAAAGGATCAGTAGATTTATCAGCAAGTAAAACCTCCTATCATCAAGACCAGGTATCCTGCATTTATATCAACCAAAAAAGTAAAACCACAGGAAGGAGAAAGTGAAGCACTACTTCAAAATACGTAAATGAATCCATTAAAGCATATTTCATTTTGAAATCTATAACAACTTTTTAAAAGAGTAAAAATCATCAACTTTCTCATAGAAACAAAACCATTTGACCTTGAATCTTCAAATTGGCTTTTCTTAATCTGTCCCTCCCTCCCTCCGTTTCAGATCAGGCCATTCTTATTTATCACAGACAATAAAATCAATAGTAAATCCGTAAAAAGCAGTTCCTTATTCACAAAAGCCCTTAGAAATTCGACTTCAGGGTCAGTGGCAGATGTGAGCAGCCTCAAGTGCCTCTGCTGTGAGGTAAGGGAGGATGGAGAGGAGGGACCAGGACCCTCTAACGCAGTCACATCCCATCTCCTCTGCTTATTTCAGAGCAGGAATTGCTCTCACACCGCAAGGTGCTCCCCACACCACCAACCCCGCACACAGGCTGAGGCCATTTCCTCCAGCCCCTCACACACAACACAGGTCCCAGCGTGTGACACCCCACAGCGCTCACAAGGTGCTGGGATCCTATCAGGCTGTAGCATGGCAGAAGTCTCTGCTGACCATGAGTTGTAGCTACAATCTGATCCATTTTTCTGCTGACAAGCTCCAGCTCCCCCAAAAAAACTGCCTGAATATTTTCCTCCTGGGAGGGGAGAGCTTGCAAAGTGCTTCTGTAGGGAATTTTTTTTTTGCACTCCCATTCAAACAAAAGTGATTTCCTTGTTTATTTCTCTATTTGCCACACTGAAAAGTTCCAAAACAATGAGATTTCCCAGAAAAAAAAGTGCATGGATTTCAAGTTAAAAAGGAAATTATCTATTACGTTTCAAAATTGTGTGGATGATGTGACCTAGAATTTCAGGCAAGGACAGAAACGCCTATAATACGGCCTGCAAACTTGCTGATACTGCCAAGAAATGACAAACACTCTCGTCTCTTGCTAAATCTCTACAGGTGTCAGCGATACGTGTCAGTGCACAAATAGTCCATGTAGTGTCAGAGGTACAATTCTGGCTTACACAAAAACTCCCCCTTTCCATCACAGAAAGCGATGGTTGAGTGGGGACTGTGGTTCTTACTCTGCAATGAATCAGGTATTGGAAAACAGTCAAGAGGATTAAAAGAAAGCTGAGAAGTTGCTGACAAAGAATGGGAAATGAAATATCTCCTTCATGTAGAAAAACTAAGTCACTGTCTACAAAATTGTATAGAAAGAGTCAGACGCTGGTTTGCCATCCAAGCTAAAGGTTGTAAGGAAGTCTGGTATAGAAAGAAAGAGGAAAAAAACAAGGCTGGACTGCCATAAGAGTAAATTGGGAGATTCATGGCTCAGGTTTGTAAATGTAAACCCAAAATTAATGAGCTATGAAATGTAACAATAATGTTCAAGAGTCATTACTAATAGCCCTGAATTGGCACTTCAGACTGCAGACCAAACTCGTTCAATGTCTGCACAGGTTTAGTACCAAAATATCTCTATAAAAAGCCTTCGACCAGTCTCAAAAGAAAGAAAAGCGTCAGAAGGTAGAAAACTAGAAATATGTACAGATTCTTTCCATTTGCTTGTTTAATTAACATTTAAAAAAGCAGCTTTTGGAGCCAATGTTCCAGCCTAGTGTAAGAATCTGCCCTGGGCAGCCTCATGGTCCAGGCAGCATAAGGACGTGTCTCCAGGAGCAGCCCTGCATCTGTTGCTCCCCAGGAGGAGCTTGAAGGCATCAGAGAGATGGGGAGCTTGGACTCCAGAGGGTGCCACAAGAGAAGGATCACCGGGGATCCACACAGCAGCACTATGACCCCTGCCAGGATGATCCCTCTCAAACAAGACAAGGTGGAAACCAAGTGTTGGATCTTCTAGAAAGGAAATATGGAGTACGTGGGCGGAACACACAGAGCTGCTGACCTGGGGCCAAAGCAGATGAACCCCGCGCTTGCTGTTGTCCAGAGAAGATCCCATCATGAAAATAATAACAACTTGTACGTAAAGTAACTGGAACATCCTTCTATTCTGCTGTGAACAGTATGATAAAAAGAGGAGTCCTATGCTGAATGGCCAATTCAGCCTTAAAGAAGGTCTGAGGAAGATGGGGAAGAAGAAATGAAGAGGGCTACAGATCAGAACTGAAAAACACAGCACGCACACGGACTCAGGTGCCCTTGGCAAGGCCAAGCGTGGCTCTCGGGTCACCCAGTGAAACAGGCGGCTATTTGAGTTGCCTCTACATAAAGACTCAGACTTTAGGCGCAAAGGGCAGCTATGAAGGTTGTGTTTCACAGCACTCGCTTCAAGTACTTACTGAGCAGGGTGTTGAGAAACTGTGGCTGTCTCGTTCACATACACAGTCATTGCAGCTGGCTGTATGTATAGCAGATGGAAGGCAGCTTCTGCAACTGGTTATTAAGAAAAAGAATGGTCTTTAACAATATAATTTGCCCCGTCGGGCAGGACTCATGATTAACAGTACATAAGTGATCATATATATACCTCAAGGAACTGAGTTTTAAAAAAATATTACAGTACCAATGATTTTTTTTGTATCTACAACTATACAGCATTTTCAAGCGGTATGGAAATTTAATGAAATAATTATGATTTATTAATTTACATAAAAATACTTTTTACAGTTAAAGAATAAATCTTAAATGGTAAAAAAAATAAGATTAAGAAGCTCCAGCTATTGAGAGTCATGGGAGTTTGTCTGCTCTTCGATAACTTGTTTCACTATTTCTGCCAGTTTTAGTCGATCCACTTTATCTGTGAATCCTCTGCCTGAAAAAGAGAGGAACAGGTCGTCAGCTGGTGCTGGGGACAAGGAGGAAAGCAATCGCAGCTGGAGTCAAACTGAAATGCATCACACGGAAATGCAGGACAACATTTGCAAGGGAACCAAAATCTAAAGTAGAACCAAATAAACAGAAACCAGAGTGAGTGTAGAGGCCAAGCCCTTGTGAACCTGAATGATGCTCCTGGTCTCCTGACGTTCATCAACATCTGCTCCTGGGGGCTGACCCCTCTGCCACCCTGCTCTGACAGGGAGCCATGGGAACAGCCTGAAGGCCTCGTTTAACTCTGCTTCCTATGCAAACCGAGCAGAGGAGATGTTGTGCTGGCATGGAGGAGGGCAGCAGTCACCAGCAGAAAGAGGGTGATAAACAGCTGGAAGGAAACCAGCTCAAAGCGGCCAAAGCGGTTTCTGAAGCGAGGATCCATCTGTGCTGTTATGCTCCTGCATGACTCGGTGCCTTTCAAAACTCTACCCTGAACCTCCAACAGAAATTTTAAAGGAGAACTTTCAAGCTCATTTCTCAAACACCCGTGCTGGCAGATGGGCTAGGACAGTGTCAAAACCTTACTCAGCCTGACACAAATTCAAGAAATTTGGTTTTATTTCCATACAAGGAGGTCACTGCTTCCCCTCTTTCACCCGGCATTAGCGCCACTCTGCAGGGAAGAGAAAGAGCAAGCTCCTCACCGTTCCAGCTGAAGCTCTGAAGAGTGTCTCGCAGCAACTTACACTCTCGGTTATACTTCCACGCCTCCTGCATCACTTCGTTCAGCTTCTCATCTTCGTTTTCTCCTAGTTGGAACAAAGAGAAACAGGAGATTTGTCATTCAGAGCTTCAGCAAGCAGTGCGTGCAGTTACTCCTCGCCTCTCACAACCTGGGAAACGGGTTTGAAAGCAGAGGCTCCTGCTCAAATGTTATTTTAACAGCTTTACACGCCACTGGTGACACCAATATTAAGCATGCACCAAAATTACAGTCCACAGACAACGCTTTCCTCTCAAGACTGACTAGGACAACAGTTTTATTTATCCTTCCTCACTACTGACACATTGATCTTGATACATGGTAAAAAAGTCAGTGTCTCGCACAGTAAGAAGTCAGTGTCTTGCACGTTTAGGAATGTAACTTTGTTAAAAGTGGCAACCTTTACCAGCCTGTGGTAGAATGCACTGAGCAATCACATCTCTGAGCTTTTCCAGAGCCACGTTGGAGTCGTTGCTTCCATTCTCGGGGTCATGGATATAAACCCCATCCTTTGGCTTAGTGCTGCAAAAGAACAAGGAGGAAACAATCACAATTTGAATGCGACTCAAGTCTTACTTGTTGCACCCTTGAATTTACACATGCTATGACTGCCTCCACTGTGATCTTTCGGAAACAGCTTTAGAGAGTTACCCCAGTAATTTCCTTTTGCGCAGGATTGGGTTGTTGACGGAGTGAAGGGGTTTGAGACTGACTTTGAGGTCCTGGATCCGCATGTTCGCAAGCTGCTCTGCATGAGCCTGTTGTATCCCCGCAACCATTGCCTGGAATGACAAGAGTTGCACTTGATGTTTTAATGAGCTTCTTTGTGAATTAAAGAACATGGGCAACGTTAGCCATGAACAACAGAAAAATGAACGAAAACCCAATTTATTTCACAGATGTGTAACAAAAATCAGGCTTGCATTATGCAAGACATGATTAGAACTACAGTCACTGACTGGGGGACAATGTATCCCAACCTCACAGCGACAGACAGCACAAGGGATCATTTCTACCACGTGAAAGAAAACCCTCAGACCATCCAGGAGCCATCCAGCTCTCCTGTGCAACATTCTTGACAAAATAAAGTGTTGTTTCAACCTTGTCCATCATCAGCTGGGCAGAGGGCAGGATGTTATCAAGCGCCTCGGTGGAGTTGAGCCAGGGGTGGTCCAGCACACCTTCGATGGTCAGCCGCTCCTCGGGTTTGACCTTCAGCAGCCTGGGAGAGGAATCACTCAGTCCATAAAGAGGTCTTTGCTGATTTACAACGCGCTGCTCTGACCGGGATCACAGCACAGGCCAAACAAGAAACTCCTCCTATAGCTAAAACACTGCGCTGACCCAAAAGCCGTCTACCAGCCTCAGTGACCCTCGCTGTGGTGATATTTTAACTCATTCAGGTATATTCAGCAACTCAGCACACAGACAGGCACTGAAGGCCGTTATAGCAATACTTGTGTTCTGCTGACCTTTATGTTCACAATTCCCAGATGGGAAATATCCTCTGGAAGTGATCCAGACCGACACATCTAGAGCCCATCCACGTCACAGCCACAGTCTATACCCACACCAAGGGGTATAGTGGCTCTGGGCATGGTGAAGTACGGCAAAGTTTCAAAGCTGAATTAACTGGTTTCATCATGCAACAACTTAGCTCTTCTCCCTCTGCAAAAGCCTCAAGTAATGGAGGTTTTGGCAGGGTACAGCACCTCAAAATGAGAAGGGACTTTATTCCGAGATCTCTGAAAACTCCATGGAATTAAACTTTACTAGAACGAAACCCCGGAAAGAGATTTTGCAGACAAACTCGTGTTCTCATGATAACCACGACTGCTTAATTAAAAACAGTGAAATTTCACAAAGAGTGCTGACAAGTTATCCCAGGAGCCTAATTTAGAGACAGAATGACTTGATGAGCTTGTCACGCTTTCTCAGGCAATACTCTAAACCAGCTCCCTGGCTGCAAAGCAGAATTGTTTAATGTACCAACAAAGTGGAAGTAACTTTTATGAACTGTCAGCAGGACCACGGGCTGGCTCCTAAGCTTCACTTGCAAGGCCAAACAGGTCGTGAGTTCAGTTTTGATACATGACCCAAGACACACACGCTCCTTTTCCATCGGTTTTCAAAGTCTCAGCCAAGCACTCCAGCTCACAAGGCTCGAGGTCAGAAATCAGCTCGACATGCGTGAAAGGAAGCGGCTGCTTGGATGCAAAACACAACCTCCAGAAGCAAGACTCCACGTGAGCAGCAGTCTACGTAAATAAAATGTCAACGTATCCAGAATGACATGAAGTCTAAAGGTATTCCTGCACCACAAACTTAGGTTCAGACTCACTGCCTGGAAAAGACAAGCAGGAAGGGCAGTCCTGATAACATTGGTGGGAGAATTAAGTGAAGGGAATCCAAGTACCAACATTGTGTGAGCTGAGTTTCATGGCCATTTTAAAAGGCAATGAAACCTATTGACTGTGGAGCTTCAGAGTGAGAATAAAGAGCTGACCTTGGTAAAATGGGAAGCTTCACTGCAACACCATCTGCAGTTTATTTGGTGAAAGGCTGTGGGCTCTGCTGCACTGCTATAAACAGGTCCTGGCACCCTTTCCAAACAATGTTAAGTACTTGAAGATTTTATAGTACACCAAAGTTTAACATTATTTAACCAACCAATTTTTTTTTGTTACTATTTATGTTGCTTTTAATCTTCCAGGTCCTCTGGTGGTAGAAGCAAAGGCAGCAAGTCCCTCTCACATGTTAAAAAATAAGTGAGGTCAAGACCTAATCAGTGCCACATTCTTGCTTTCAAACAGGACCACGGGATCACAGCCCGTGAAATATTTGCAACTGAGACACGTGCACTGCATGAAAAGCAGTTTCCACTTGCAGACGTGGCTGCCCGTTGTCTCCACTGCTATGAAACAAGGTGGTGTACCTGTTCCCCTTCAAGATTAAACGCACAACGCACTCTAGCGACTTCAGGGACAGGAGACAACAAAAATTGAACGCTACAGTTGGGGAGGAATAAAATAAAAAAAAAAGAGGGTAAGAGAAACATTTACCAGACTTCATTTGTGCTGAACACAACAGAAAAATTTTCAGCTTTGTGCTGCAGACAATTCCCCCACCTCTGGAAAAATAAGCCCTCTGTGGTAACGCACTTTCAAGTGATTTTCCTATTTCTTAACATCAGCAAAGAGACCACATTTGCCTCGACTGACTCACTTTCGCACAATGTCTTTCGCCATTTCTGAGATCTGGCTCCACTCTTCCTCGGGAAATTCAAAACTTCCTGTCATGATCTTTTTCCGCATGTCCTTTGGAATCGTTCGACTGTGGTGTTTGGAGTAAAACGGAGGGTATCCACACAGCATCACGTAAATTATGACGCCCAGGGACCACAAGTCACAGCTCTGAAAGCAAGGAGAGGATCACTTTGGGGTGCAATTTGGAGCAAGCAGTGGTGTAGCCACGTTTAAAGTTTTATTTGATTCCCTAAGAAAACAGAAATGCAGCTCAGCCTCCTTCTAAAGGCCCAGCTGAGGACCTCTGTGGATAAACAGAGCAAATACGTAAGCACAAGATAACTCCATGCTGCCAAGCTAAACTGCTTCCAGGACCCAAAAGTAGCTTATTTACAGAAAGCCTATTTAAGTGTGCTCTGCAATGGTAAACTGTACAGAAACAGCCAGCGTGTCAGAGGCGTGAGAAGCTGCGCATTTATTACATCTCTCAGGATATTTGAATCCCAGTCTCTTGATATCAGAGCAGAAACCAGAATACAGTCATTTTTTAGAACGTGAGACTAAAAAAAGAAACACCATCACACACATGAGCTGGCAGAGATACTTAATCAGAGAGGTCTGTAATGAAAAACCACGCGTCCTGAAAGCTCAGGAGATGAAGCAAGCCAGGAGCAGCATTTCATGGCTTTCATCCTCCTGCCCTCCCACCCCAGCCTGGAGCTCCCTCCCTTGCCCTTGCCGTAGCGTTACTGCTGATGGGACACAGAATGAGCTCATCCACGAGGCAGATCCAGCCAAAAACCAGCTCAGAACAGAAGCTGAAAGCCAGATCCATTCCCCATCTGGATCGCTCTGCGTTCACACCACACGGGAAGAAGGGAAGAGGACTGTAACAGCCTAGGCTCAATTCAAGCTTCTGCTGGACCACATCCTTATGGCTGCAGCTCTGTTATCACCTGGTGATGGCATGGCACAGGCTGGGGCTGGCAGGAACTGCTCTGACCCCAGCTGTTCATTCCCAGTATTTCTTTTGTGCCAACACCAGCATTTGTACAGCTGATTATTTCTTCTTACCAGCTTGGTTTCCAGCCCTGTCAGTCCTCCGGGGACTCCCAAAGGATGGACAGGAACACGCAACCAAGTGGTGCTTCAGCTTATGCAGAAGCCTGACCTCCAGCCAGGTTCAGGTGACGGTGAAACAACACGCAAGGGCAGATTTGGGGAGCTGGGGAGGTTCTGTGATTGGTTTACACAGACACAAGTCTGCACAACTGCCAGCTGAAGCAACCTCAGCAGCTCCCTGGCTGACCCAGACTGTATATTCCACCACCCACTCTAGGACAGCACTGGTGTTCATGCGGCTGCACAGATGAACTCAGCAAACACAGAATCCCTGACCCCAGTAACTGGTTTTTGGATGGATCAACACTGGATCAACACCCAGGAAGGGGCCCTCAAAGGTGAGACTGCTTCCTTCCAGAAGGAATACACTTAGATCAGCTCAGATTGATCATTATATCAAACTCTTGGCTTTTACAAAACATGTGGATGCCGATACCAAAAGAAGCTCCAAGGAGTTATCCTACATCTGTGTGCTTTTCAGCAAGTTGTTTGAGGCAATCTCAGATGGCTCTAGAAGTCTAAATTTCTATTTAGGTACCTAAATTCTCATCGTTTTTCAACTGACCACAGATAATTTCTGATTAAATCAATGACACTTCAGGCACTTAAGCAGGTGCCTAAATTCTTCACGGATATGGTTCTCAGATTCTATTACTCAAGAATCAGCCCCCTCCAGCTATGACATCTACACTCCTATTTGATCCAAAACAAACACAACTTAATGCAAATACTCAGGAATCAAAGATGTGATTTTTTTTTCCTCCAATTTAAGCCTGTGGAACAGAGCTGCTGATCATGAAGGTGGATCACAGGCGTTTCCACTCAGGCTCTGAACTGCGGTGGAAGGACAGTGTACCTGGGAGTTATCACAGCCTATTTTGGGGAGTGAGGCGTACGCCAGATGCTGCTTTTGCAGTGACTCACACTTGGCAAGGTAAGGATGAGGCTGCTTCTTTCAGCAGCCTTTCCAGTGAGCGCCACCACGGCTGAAAGCAGTGACCGATCTGTTCTTCAAATGAAACATGAAAACAAAATCTGTGTAGCACGTTATAAATCCTACAAGATCAAGGCAGCTGAACCTTCTGAGTATGGGAGTTAAGTACAGTTGACACCTGCTTTCAAAGTTCTGCCATTCTGTACAAGATTATGACCCATATTTTGCTTAAGGTGCCATGGCCGGGCTCTTGGGTTCATTATAAGAAGAAAACAGCTGTCAAACTGCTACCAAGATGAACAGTGAGCAACCACTTCTGGGTGTCCCTGGAACCCCATCTGCTCCCTTGGAGGTGGCTATGATAGGAGAGCAAATCTGCTTCAATCCACAGAAGTGGAATTCTTGACCCTGCCTTGTAAGACTTTCAAAACACAAAAAACAACTGTCCCTGTGACTGGGGTTTGCATGACAGAGGGCAGAAGAAATTCCATATTGAAAAGAATATTGGCACCTGTCTGAGACCTCTTTTAATGAGAAGTGTTTGGCTTCAACTCTCAAGCTGCTTCTCCAGGATGGAGAAGAGAGAATCCAAACTCTGAAGAAGGCGGATTCGTGACTAGGAAGTCCACGTGGACTAATTCAGTGCAAGTTATCTCTGCCTGTCTTTGCTTTACCTTATGCATGGAAGGCTATAAAAACATAACACTATATATTGAACTACCCCCTCTAGCATGTGGTGGGTTAAACAACCACCCTTGGAAGCTGGAATCAGTGTAGATACTCAGCTAACTTTAATCAACACTGATGCTCAAAGGAAAACCCTCAGTGGTTTAAACACTGCTAAGCCAGCAGAGAAAGCGGTAATGATATGGAGAAAAAGGTTTTGGAATGATCAAGGAGAACTACAGCTTTTCAGGACAATTTCTGCCATGACTTAGCCAAGACTCTAGCAGCAGTTGTTATTGCCAGTGGCTACTGCTACAGACAACACAATCCACTACTGGGCATTTTGCAGAAGATCTCTGATACAGACAAGGTCCCACCACAGCTGACTGAACAAAAGAGCCTAAATAGTGCTTTACACATCCAGAAACTCCAGCTGACAGCAGAAAAGATTCCTTTTAACCAGGAGGCAGAAGGTGCAGGTGAAAGAACTTCCCACATGGTCACACCCCAGCAAAATCATTCCACTCTCCAAAACCTCAATATGTTGTGCTCCTGTTAACAGTCTGTTAGAGTTTTCCTTTAATTAGAGGATCATGAATTAGGCTTGGACCAAGAGTGCCCTTCATCATTCGCTTCATCAGAAAGAGCACAGAGCCAGCAGCACCTTTTAGTGTCACTTGTAAACTGAGGAAGGCAGCTGCCTGCACAGATCATTACCTTCTGCTGTGCCAGTTCAGCTGAAGGAAACCTGGTCTGAACCCAACGCATTTTAGGGGAGAAATACCACTGTATACCACTGTCACATCTCTCAGAAAAGCTAAAGAAACCACCCTGGTGAGAAATACAGGCCCCTTCCTTACAGCATGTGTGAAAACACACATGTAGACAGATTAGCAAGCAACATGACATTGCCCTGCTGCTTCCTGTAGATCCTGCTTTTTACTCAGTGTGGGATATTCGGCCAGCTGTTCTATGTATTCCTGCCACAGAGATCAGAACCACTTTATTGCTACTGGCCATAAGTGTGTCATTGCAGGGCAATAAAGTTTATTGCCTTAGGTGATAAACCATGTTTATAGACTGCTTCTGCAGCAGATACATCAGAGCAGGGGGCAATGCGCCATGCTTTAGAAGTATCGACTTGTGGACCGTTTCCCAGCTTACCTTGTTGTAAGTGTAAGGTGTTGGCGAGGTGGGGATAATACCAGATTTTTCTTTCTGATGCCGTCTTTGTGCCTCCAATACCTGTTGCCATAAAAGAAAAAATAATGATGCAAAATACATTTCACTTACAGGCACCACAAACAGCAATGCCTACACCAAACATGCTCGATGTTTTTCTGTTCAGTGGACTTATTCAGCTACTGGAGATGCTGCCAGACTCCAGCTTTTCTTCCTAAGAAAGACCGAAACTTCCTACATGGGGAAAATATCAGCTAAAATATTTTGCTGCTTTGGATGAAAACTCCAGTTTTGCCTGAATTAAAGCAATTGCTAACACCTCTTTTGTTCAAAAACTCTAACACCTCCATGCTTTGGACTTTAAAATGTGTTTGGAGGGTAACCCTAGCTCCAGAGATGGCCCTCTTTGCCTCTCCCATGAACAAATCAGATCAAATTTGACCCTCGCTGGTCAAATCTGTGTCTCTGGGTTTCTACAAAAATCTCAGCTTAAACATGCTCAGGAAAAGCTTTTTAGGGGTTTGGTAGCTCACTTGTTTAAAAACCCCAATCTGTACTGCCCTTCACCAGCTGGCTCCAGTTGAGGAGGCATTTTCAGGGCACTGGACTGTGACCACATGGTCCGATCTCTGCAGCTGCTCTTCCCAGTCATTAAAGGCTGCCGACGTGCCCAGTACTGCAATTAAATCTCTATCTACAGTTTCATTTTAATTTTCTTCAGGGTTCCAACACAAAGCACAAAGAGTACAGAAAGCAGCACTACAAAACCAGCCTGTAATTACAGATGATGTCTTAATGCACACAGACATGGGGGTGAGGCCATGGTGAACAGGTAACCCTCTGGCACTGCCTTCCTTTAGAGCTATGGCCTTTACAGAACCTTTTTGTTTCAGCACAGTCCTTTCTAATGTAATCCTGTGTGAGCCCAAGCTGGAAGGAGGATTGCGAAGCAGGGATTTTTCCAAAGCAACCACTTTGATAGAGTTAAAGGCCAATTGTCAAAATCCTGGCATAGTCTCACCAGTGGGAGTCAAGAGGCATCAGCAGTAAATCAGTGCTGAGAACACAGCCTGGGAAACTTGCCTCATGATCTCCTGCAGTAATCAGTAGATCACTGTGGCACTTCATCTTGAAAGGTGGCTACTATATAATTAGTCAAGATTGCTGTGCCCAGAAGGCCTTAACAGGATAGCAAAGGCTTTTAAAATGTCATGGTTATGGAGGCAATAAAGATAATGATTCCCCTTTAGCGTAGAGCTGTAATCATCTGTTACCTGAGGTGCTACGTAGTATGGAGTGAACTGCGGTGTCATCAAGTCACCTTGGTCTACTTTGGCAAATCCAAAGTCACACAATTTAACAGGTGCATCCTAAAAGAAGGAAAAGAGGCCTCATTACAAAAACTCATCGCATCGGCTTTTCTAATACGTATTTCTCACCTCCTACTCATCTTACCTTTGCCACACGTGCTCCCCTTTTGTATTTATACCCTTACCATTCCACAGAGCAGCTAAAAGGTCATAAACTGAACTTTGACACAATCATTTTCTGGGTGCTCTGAGTCAAAAGCAGCTCCCCTCTCAGCTTTGGAGAGCACTAAGGACATTTTGGGGGGTCACTGCACATGCAGGGTGGTTATGAGCAGGAAAAGAAATAGGGAAGCAGTTGGATACATCAAAGCATCCCTAATGCATGTCAGAACATCCTGATGACACCCAGTGAGGAAAAGTGGCAGAGGAATCTTCTTGGCAAAGCAGGATTTACGTTGAGGTGGAAAACCTGAGTCATATTTAAAAACAGCAGCATGGACAGCCTGTACTCCAGGCAGATCAGAGTACGGAAAAGCACAAAGCCAAAAGTCATTAATCTTTGTCACCAAAACACTGCATTAATGTCATTTTCCAACCGCTCTGAAAATCACCATTGAGCCATTTTACAGAATTCAGCAGTCAACAAGGAATCCCAAGTCTTCATCTTACCAGAGAGTTATCCTTGAAGAGGAGATTCTCGGGCTTGAGGTCTCTATGTGCAATGTTTAACGAGTGGCAATGCTGCAAAGCCAAAGCTATCTGAAAAAGGGCACAATAAATCAACTACAGTTACAGAACTCCTCCTTTAGCCTGGACACCTATATTAGCTTTAAAAAGGACACTGCCAACATAGCTCAGACCCCAAACGTTTTCACTCCACATGGGTACAAGACAAGAGTGGCGATACTGCACAACAGCGCAGTAAAGCGACGACAGGGAAATTAAACCCATCAAGCTGTTCAGTTTGCATTTCAATCAAAGCAAAAAGCAAAGCTAAGTTGTATTTTGCTTCCCAACCGCCTTAGTTTGACTAAATCGGGGCATTCTCACACCTTCCAGAAGTGAAACAGCTCATGGCAGTGTCCTTTTCTCTGCTGTGCAGGCCTGCAAGGTCACTGCACTTGCCCGCGCGTTCTCCAGCGATCACGTCCTGTTTAACCGTCAACAGCAAGTTGATATTTAAGGATTTAATTAAATATTTTATAGCATTTGTTACTGATTTAAGAGTCAACATTCAGGTAGTTTTATTCTTTCATTCTTGATGGTACTGCCTACAATTTATTCCTTTTCATGGGATATTACACAGAAATACAGCATTGGATTTTTTCAAAGACAGCTTCTTACACCGCTGTGGTTTAGAAACCTGTAACCCAGTCTTGAAAGCTCAACACAGTGTACATTTGAAAGTGCAATTCACTTAAAGAAAACCAAAGCATAAATACTTAAACAGCGTTACTGAAACAAAAGTAAGGCAAAGCCACACGACCCTGATCTGGAAATATTCCTACTGGTTTCTGTGGGATCCTACCCGAACACAGTACCTGGGGTAAAGCGCCGAGTCCTTAGAAAACTGCAAATTACTGTGACAAGAGAACTTCAGTGTTAGTGTAGCTCAGAAACAAATACAAACACACTCCTAAACAAAGTGAGGGGGTCTGAACTACTGCTGGGTACAAGGCAGTAAGACTTGCGGTTCAAGACAGTGGTGAAGAACCACTAAGATGAAAGAATCAGACTGTACATTGCTTTCAAACTCCATCTGTATGAACATTAAAGCGAAGAGATACTTGGAACGTTAATAACCCAAGTGTACACAAAGTCAGAATTCAACTCAAAGTCTTGTCTTTTGGTATAGCGTTAAAAGATTTTTCCAACATGTTAATCCAGGAGACTGCCGTGCACTGTCCAAATCAAATGGCCCAAAGGACGTGGAAACAAACTGTCAAGAATAATTCTGTACTTCCACCTAATTTCTTTGTTGGATGAAACCAAAAACGTAACAGCACAATTAGCATTTCATTAGAAACATGTCAAAGCACAAGACAGAAGAGTAAGATGAAATGATCCAGCCCTCTTTTTGCCTCAGTACCAAACATCATCTCCCCAGCTTAGGAGGAAGCAAGCGAAGGGGATATGGATATATTCCTAACCAGTCCTGTCAATTCACATCAAATGCTGTAATATCTCGTCTCGGGTTTTCTTTCCCCTGTTTGCTGCTGTGATCACTGGTGTGAGAGCAGAACGTTTACTGAGCAGTATCTCTAGCAGAGCCTCTCATCTTCAGCTCGTGTAGCTTTTGTTTGGAATGCCAACACGACCTCTGCAAGAAGCAAACGATGGCAACTCCGGCCCTCGGCTTCGTGCCGTGGTGCCAATTCCCATGCAGAAGAGCTCAGCCATTTTGGCAGCAAGGTCCTTCTGCCTTGTGGTTCCTCACAGCAACCTGCTGGGCCTCTGCCGGGGCTCCCTGAAAAGGTCATCACAACACACACAGCACACAGCCATACCATCCTGCAGCCCTGCCAAGTCATCCAACAGCTTGGAAGTGTAAGGGAACAAGTTCACCCCAGAACTGAGAGGAACTGACACGAGGGATCCCTGCACTGAATCTCATGGAGTCCCTTCTGCTTCATCGTCCTGTCTGCTACGTGTCAGTCACACCAGATGCGCTGCTGAGCAACCAAGAGTCTGCCTGACACCAAAACCTCTAGTGATAAATGCTGCGGAGGCTATAAAATACAACATTCAAGAGTGAGTTGCGTAGAGAAATGGAGAGGGAAAAGTGACATCAAACAGCACAGAAAGCGTGCACTGCAGTGGTACGTTCCCCTTGGTATCTTCTGTGACAGACTTCCACAAAACCAAACACAGAACCCAGCTTGAAAACCACTGGCCCAGGACACATGCACATTATTGTCTGCTACCCCATGCAAGAGGTGAGAGAAACACCAAGTCCGTGTCCTGGTCAAGAGCAATTCTCAAACTGGAGCTCAGGATCCACGCAGGGTCCGGTGGAGCCTGCGGACTGTTGGAGGTAACGTGTTTAGAACAACAGCAAGGGATACAGCAGGAAGGTTGTGCACGGAAAGAGCTCTCTGGTGAAGTGTTCTGTAGACCAGGTTAATAAAACCATCGCTAAGGACAGCGGAGACACCGGGGTCCCAACCCAGAAGAACTAGCCCACACCTTCCAATTCTTTGTTTCTATCAAAACTTTGGCATTGTCAGGTTATAACAAAGCAGGCAATGATCATCGGATCAGAACTGAGGATTATTTTAGCTTCCTTTTTTCCCGCCCCCCCACCCCAAGAAATTGTTAAATACTTTAGCCATTATCATTCATGGATTTGCTTATACATGGTGTTGACTTGCCTGCTTTGTTACTTGGCTTGCTTGCTTCTCAGTAAAGTGCCGGTGCTGGCTGATTCTGTGAAATAGCTCTCCCCCTTCCATCATCTCCATTACAATTAGGAGCCGAGCCCTGTTCAAAAGCATTTCATTTTGTTATATTAAAAATAGTAATTAAAAAAAAAAATGACAGAATTGCTAAGCTAATAATGCAAACTTCACATCTACTGACGCAGGCCAAATGACAGACATGTATTTGCTGCTTCTACAGTTGTTGTAGCTATTTTGGATCCGTCATTTTTGCCTTTAAGCACGTAAGCTGCAAGATTTTCTGGCTCCTAGCACCGAGTGTCAGCCAGGGATCTACAGTTCGCTCTTCACGCTGGGCTCCCACATCCAGCTGGAACAAACCCCACGGCTACGTCTACAAGGATGCATCCAGACAGAGAGATGCAAGCTGCACCCGCGCTTTCCACCAGTAAACCAGTTTGGACCTGGAAGCCATTTAGGCACATCGGTGTGTAACTCTGCCCTCAAAGAATAACACCACGGGTAGAGTCTTGCACTGAATGTGCTGAACATCTGCCAGGCTGCAGCTGCTTAGAGCACAGCGTCCGCCTGCCTGCACCCATCCTTGCAGACACGCTGACCTGCCCCTGGGCACCAAAGATGTTCACAGACACTTAGAAACAGGAGGTTGAGGACTTTTCTTTAATTCTTTTGAGTCTGGATACTCTACTGCACCTCATTATTTTAATTTACAGTTTTATCAACATAATTATGTAGGACAAAGAAGAGAAAGTGTGGGGATCAGGACTGCTAGAGCCTCGAGAAACTGATTTCTAGCTCTTCTGGCCACACAGCAAAATCAGAGACTAAGACAGGTCTCAGCTCTTTACTTCTCCCAGCTCTGATTTTTTTTTTCAGCTAATATCCAATTAGAAGACAACAATTTTATCCCAAATGATATTAATGCATGAAAAATAGTAAGTCTGCTTCCTGTTTTGTTGGATTTTATTGACTGTATTGAGAGTTTAGAGAGCACAACCTAATACTTTTAGAAACAGTTCTCTCTTCCATTTATTTATTTATTTGTTTTGCTTTGAATGAAGACTGGCACTCTGAGTTTCCCCGTGGCTCACAGGCATCACCATCACATAACAGGATCTCACTCAGGATTCCAGCTAGCAATAAAAGTCGCAGCTCCGATCCTGCTCTAACAGTGCTTTGAAAGCAGGGGGCAGCTCAAAGGCTACTATTCCATTCAGGCTCCTAAAGCAATATCAAAGCAGGACAGAAGCTGATGTACTCTCTCAGACAATGCTGGTATTGCAGACTGAACCAACAAAAAAACCTAAGAAATGAAGGTGTATTCAAAAGCAGTAGTGAAGGACGCTAATTCATTTTAATATGGAAAGGTCTGGGCATTGACAGGGGAGAAAGCAAGCGCTGCTTAGTCTGAAGTATAAACATCGTATGTGGAACGCCCTATAAACATTCATTTTGGTCACGCTATGATTAAATAAAAAAGCAAACTCCACTATACCTTGGCCTAAACATGGAAAGCAAGCTGTGGGGTGAATCACCCTATGTAATCTTACCTTGGGCTGGATTCATGTGGGAACTGCACACTGTTAGCATAAACTTCAATAATTTGAACAATATTTGGATGTGTTGCACACATCATGTGCAGACGTACCTTGAAGAGAAGGGAAGAAACGTTACTGTGCACAGCCACACGTACTCGACCAGCTCCGCTCCTCCCTCTGCCCCCCAGGCCGTGGCCAGCTCTGCTCAGCACCAGTCACACCCCATTTCAAATGGCCCACAAAATAAGAAGTGCCTATGAGCGCTGATGAACGGCCAACAGCCATTACACTGCCTGGACCAAAAGATCAGACGCTGCCAACCAATTTGTTACAGACCATGGCATCAAACCCAGCAGAGTTCCAGAAAAAAAGCCCCGTTTTTTATTTCCTTGGGTTTTCCAAATAAATTTAAAGCAGGAAGTAGCTTTAAAGTAGCAACAGAGATACAATTGAAACTGGAAAAGTATTAAGAAAACCTGAAATCCCATCATCTGACTCCTTTCATGGCCCAAGCACTCGCAGTACGTGAAAACCTCCTCTCGGGTTCCAACTTTCTGAAACAGGAACCTAAGGCATTTCCCCCAGTTTAAAGCTACCTGGACTGCTAAACCAAGCCAAGGCTTGATGCTCTTTGTCAAAAGATTCTTTAATTTAATTTTAAATGAGAGTTTGCTCAGTAACAAGAAACAGAACTTGCCTAAACCTTGGGGACAACTAACATTTGTTTTACTTTGATGACACCTCGAAGAACTGCCCATCATTTGTAGCAGACTGGCAGCTGGGCACCTCGGCACGCTCTTATGAGCCACAACAAACCACAAACAGTGTTGATGAGCTTAAACTATTCATATTACACGGGACATAGGGAGAACACCAGCTTTAAAATGGACCTCTATAAATGACACCTGGACATGTACAGCTACAGACCCTCATCACCCACCACCTCCTCCTCTAGGAACCCAGCTCAGGCCAGAGCATCAAACCCAAGGAATCCTGCACAGCAAGATTTGCACAATACACTTTTAAAACCCCAAAACATTACAATTCACCCAAAAGGCACGACTTTGCAGCGTGTCAGAAGGCAGAGAGCACGAACAAGAACCATACCTCATTTCTAGCTTTTGGACGATCGAGGAGAATTTTCAGCGCAAAGCGTTCTTGGGAGGATTTTTTCACGCAGACTCTGGTATTACAGCAATAAAATTATGCAGTCAGCAAGACTGTTAAAGAGACACTTCAAGCAATTGATCTGTACTATGAGCTTGCTCTCCACATGGGAAGTAAGAGGAATGCCCGCAGTGTGAACATACAGGGCACCCGTCACCACGTCCCAGCTCCAAAGCCTCGGTTTTCAGCCTTTCACAGTAATCTAATACGTTAGAAACACCTAACACAAAATCATATTTTCAGAAAAATCAGAGCAATGGGTAACTGCAGGCAAGCAGAACGCACTTCAAATATTCAGCCTGAAGAGATCCTTTTGATGAAAAAAACCCAATCCACACAGTAGCAGCCTGAGCATCCCCAACGAAGGGAGCAGCCTGCAAGAAATGAAGCGTTTCTGAATGGAAATCCTTGTTGTAGCAAGGCCACCAACTGTGCCCGCACACGGTTTTTTCCTCTCTTTCCCCCATTTAACGTTAACAATTGAGCTGCGTCAGAGGGAAGGGCCCACATATTAACAGGCAGCCAAAAGAATAAAGGACAAAGGGATATTTTCATAAAGATCAGAGGCAACGCAGCGACACAAAATGGATGAGGAGAAACCAATTGCCTGGACAGGAAGATAAATGGTGGCGGAAGACGAGCGCCCGGAAACAGAGGCGCAGACATTTGTTTCCCAGTGCTCGTGCACAAACTCCCACTCCCAAAGGGAGAGTCCTTGCTGAAAAGGGAACACATGTTTCGCTTTGCAGAAAGCATCCAGCTCCTGCAGGGGTTAGAAATTCACGACGGCCAAGGCCGGTTTGAGATGCAGAGCCAGTGGCACCATCTGCTTCGGCCTCACATGATGGTGTGAAAAAAATAGCTGGTAAAAATAGCTGATGATGGCGATGACACCGCAGACGGGAGCGGCGACCTCTGCACCACGCTGACACCGGCAGCAAAAGGACAAAGGTGTCGGAGCAGGATTTTCTGCCGCCACTGGTTCACAAGTGACTCCTGCTTCTGCTTTGGGAATACAGCAGTGAGATGGGGAGTTTGTACCTCAAACACACCCCACGAAATACCTCACTCGCACATCAGCTGCAGCCCACAGAGCGCAGACGTGTTTGTTTGTGAAGAGTCTCGCACGTATCACAGCACAATTAGAAGCCATACTCACTTCTCCACAGGTACTGAAACGGGCTGAGATTACACACAAATCTGCAGCTGTGGTGTCTTACCTAACAGGACCACTGATCCCAGCTCCCAGCTTCTGAGTCCAGTTAATGTTGTACTCCTCTAAAATGGAGGTTTCCTACACGAGAAGGAGCAGGGGGAGGGGAAAGAGAGTACAAAAAAAAATAAATAAAAATAAGTAAATCGCTACATCCCTTCCAAAAAAAACCAGCTGGGCAGACCTGATGTGCAAGATACCCGAGCAGAGAAAGAGCCCGCTTCGGAGTTTTGCTTCACCTAGGAAAATGAAACACAAACGCTCCTACAGCAGTACATCTTAGCTTAAAATGATCTCTGTGCAGCTGACACTGCTCACCCTGGCACTCTGAAACAGGATTACTGAGAGCAGTAAATGGGATCTTGTCTTTAACACAGAAAGAGGATCAAGGCCACTTTTTCCCCAGCTCTTAAATTCAGCTTTCTACCTAGAAATGATCGATCACAACCAAACGCAGAGACCCAGTTACAGCATTGTCATGGACTTTTTGGTCATATGGTAGAGCAGAAACTGATTTTGCTGCTTTCTTAGCGTTTTCAAGCCTTTGGCATCATCGCACTGTAGATTAAACCCTGCCCGACTCGTTTTAGCTTGTCTGATAACGAAGCGGGCTCGAGGTTATAATCCTTTTGTCCAAATCCATACAAACAGGGTTTGGTTTTGTTATGACACGGCTTGGGTGCCATCGTGCTTAAACAAGTCACAAAGTGTGATGGAGAGGGAGCATTTTGGTTACCACCGCTGTCAGGTGGAAACCCGGTGTGCAAACTCCAGTTAAAGCAACACAGGCCGTAAAATTCTGCCTTTATTTTACGTTGCTACCTACGTTGAGGAGCACCTTTCAAACAGCCACGCTTTCTGATAAATCCCAAGACAAGCAGGTGGGAATAAAAGCTAGCGCTGGAAATGCTTAAGCAAGCAGGTAAAATACTTCCCAAATGCACTGCAAACAACTGGAAGAGTCCCCTGCTTGCAAAGCAACTTTATTCTGATCAGATGTGCCCCTCTGGTTCACTGCCATTCAAAACCTGCAGCATTTCGGGACTCGCTGGTGCTACAAACTGCGAGAAAAGGGAGCACGCTCGCGCTCTCAATTAATGCGTTGAAAATGGGAGCCCCCAAGCCAGGACATCACCACTGCCAGGATGGAGCCAGGCCTCAAACCACACCAGAAAGGTGATGCTTAAGGCAAGATCTGAGGAATTTGAGAGTGGAAAGGACAGATGTGAATGGAAAAACTGCCACTCGATGCAATCTGGGGTTGGTGTGACATAAATCAGAAGTGACTGGCGTGAAAGGTGTAAAGGAAAAAGGCAAAGGCAAAAGTTAACAGGAGATTTCATGGAGTTTTAAAAGGAAGGGGAAGAAAAGCACAGTGGATCACACGTGGTTTGTTGTTTTCACAAAGAAACTTTCGGATCAATTTAACCAACAGAAATCTCCACCATGAGAAGCACATCAGGGGAAAGAGAATTTAATTTTCCTGATGCAGAGAACTGCAGGCACCATAGGTGGAATGAAAACACCATTCAGGAGAGCATTAGCGAGCAGAGAAAGGGTTTCTCTGAACTGGGGAGCAACTCCTCAGCACTTGCATTCAAGATCAAGTAGTGATTCGTAGTGCTGAAGCTGTGAAGTCAAAGCACTCCAATGGAGAAGCAAATGCCAAAACACCTCTGCAGCCAGAGTGCGATTAAGTGACAACTCCTTGTTATTTTTCACAGCGCTTTGAAGTCCCTTGCTCTTGTTCCAAAACTGCAGAGCTGCTTGCCCCAAAACTCACCTAACCCCTACCTAACACAGCTGGGCCTAAGGAGAGAGAACGCCTCTGTGCACTGAACCCAGTCTGGGCTGAGCAGCTCCTGGGCCACTGCTGCGATGGCACAGAGAGCATTTCCTCCATCCCAGCTGGGCAAGTCCATTTTTAATAAAACTTCATTTCCTCTTTCATATTCTGCCGTTATTTTAAAGAAAAAGCCATCATTTTTGTTTTCTGCATTTGGATTTGGATTCCGAGCTTCGCTCCAAAGCGGCTTCACAACTTAGAAGTGAAAATGAATAATCTAGTGATCCAGAAACGCTACGCAGCACTTCCTAATGATGTGAAACACAGCACCTGAAAACTCTGACCTCCATCAATACGCAGATTTGCTTACATCTCCTGGTTTGGAAACGGGAGCTCCAAATCCAGCACCAAAAGTAAGCAGCACTTAAAATGTACAGAGAGAAAACTGCCCTCCGACGTGTAATAATTAAATACCAACACTGATGTCAACTGGTGAGCCCGAACGCCCTGTCTCTTTGGTTAGACGAACGCACCGTGGATGCAGGTGGCACTGGGTTATCCTGTCCTTAGCCCCACGCCTGGAGAAGAAAGCACCTTCCCTTAGCGCTGCTGCACGGTGCTGAACTCGCAGCGGGGTCAGCTGGAACTAATCCGCTGCGGCTGGGAACAGGAGGCAGAGCAGCGCTTTCCAAACAAATCCGCAGTGGGGCAATTTCTTACTGGGAACTTTTTTTGCCTGATCGCTCCTTACGTTAATTCCCAGCAGGCAAAGGGGATAAACTGATCCGAAATGTATTCAATTAGCAAAAAAAAAGGTTCACACGAGTTGATTGGGGTCTCTTTAACAGCACAATTCCCTTTCAGCGAGCTCAGGGCACCTAAAACAACGGCTCAAGCGCTCTCCTGTGCAGAGTCAGCAGTCTGGGATGCAAACAGCCTGGAAAAGCAGGGGCCAGAGCTCTCCTGGCTTCATCTCCAGCGGGCTGCTCTCACACAGGGTTAGGCACACACTGAGACTGCTCTGGTGCTTCCACACCAATAGGAAAAGGGTTGAGAAAGGTACTTTAAGAATAACACACACTCACTACAGCCAACTAGAAACACAGAGTGCTGCTTGGATAAACTCCACGTATCAAACAAGGGGAAACACAACCAGGGTAACTCCACCTCCGCTGCTCCAGCACGCAGCCTCGCAGCTGCGCCGTGAACAGCGATCGCTGTCGTGAATCACAGACCTTAAACCTGCAAACGCAGGTGAAACCAAATCAAACCTGAACAGTAACCGAGTATTTGAGAAAGAGAGAAATCAGCATAATGCATAAAAGCATTACATTACGTTTCAGGTTCAGGCAATGCCCATTGGGGATTGGACTGGATGATCTTTTGAGGTCCCTTCCAATCCCTAACGTTCTGTGATTCTGTGAATGCCCATAACCCAAAAGATTTGCCCAGAATCTGTTTTCAGCCATAATCCCTCCAAGCGGAGCGGGACAGGAGGCAGATAAAGGACTGGCCCTACACTTACACAACTGCTTTGGTGTTTTTGTTTTGGTTTTAACCCACAAGAGCTCTGCTATAGATCTTTATCTTCACACAAAACACCACAGAAATACTTGAAAAACTTTCTTTGCGAAAGCCTTCCAGCTTCCTCACCTGCACCGATAAGGAAGGAGGAAGGGCTTTTGATACTTGATACTCATAGTTTAGCCAAGTATTTTGATCTTGATCTGGCAGTTTAATCACAGGCTGGGTTGTCTGAACACGGTGCTCAGACTTCCTTCTACTGTGGGTGTTTTCAGTTCAAAAGGCAAGGCTCGCACCTTTTAAACCATTCTAGGCTTCAACAACACAAGGCCCTGTGGCCGCTTCTCTTGCATTGATTTTTGCCCCCAGTGAGCTTTGTAAAGACAAATCCCACCACGGCAGAGAGCAGAGCTAAGGGGAGGTGGCAAATACCAATACACAGGGTCTTTTTACCTACAGCCTTAAGGAATTCAATCCTCTTATTAAAACAAGCACTTACAAAGGCATTCAGCATCTGTGACAGCAAATGTTTTGTGCACGGTAAAGAGCCTGCAGAGAGTCTTGAAAACATTGCTTTACTGCTACTTTATCGCAAAAGAGTTTCCCCAGCTCCTTCAGGAAATCCTCTCAGCCAGGTTACAGGAGGATTCACCAGGAAGTGCCAAGCTCACACACTGACTCTTGCTGTAAAAAAAGAAATCCTGGATCTGCTCATCTCCTCTACCACCGCTCGAAACGCAAACATCCCACACGCCAGATTTGTTTTCATAACAGCATCTGAACAGGAACTCGGAGATGGATCGAGGCGACAGCGTTGTCTCTGCAGCCAGGGACTGCTGCGAGGCTCAGACCCCAGCTCCTGGCCGCCCCGGGCAGCCCCGGTCCTGCTCCCCACAGCCTCAGCATCCCAAC